ATTTTACGAATCAATTCTTCGTAGATTGTAAGATTGAGTCTATATTTTTTTCTTTTTCTACATAAATATCATCTTTAATGGCGGTTCTAATTACAAAGTTGCTCCGGTAATAAAAATAATTTTCGCCAATTATTAAATCTAAAAGAAGCAAACTTTTGTTTCTTGGTTCATTTCAATTTTACTTTAATAAGGAATTTAATTTGGTGCACTTGTGTGCGAGAGGAACTTAATATTGAAAATTATAATATTTCTCGATACGCGATAATATCTCGGGGGAAAAGTTTTCAAATTCATCAAAGATCTTTAATCTGCTACTATAGGGCACATTCAACTCTGTCTTTTCATGAAATAATGAGGTTTGTTAATATTTAAATACACATATTTGATTAAAGCACAAATTATTCTCGTAAACATGAATGCACTGTATATTACATTATTATTTTTCGTATGAACGTAATACGTATAATGTATTTCTAGACGTGTAATTTTAATCGTTCGTAATTTATTCATATTAATAAACTATCGCGATTGTATTACGTAACATGTAGCAACGACAACAATAACATAATAATACCGATTTGATGTCGGCGAAAGCACGATATTTCGCGATTAGTTTCGCGTTAATATTATGCGCCTTTGTTTATCAGGTTCTGTTACAGCCATGTAGTTCCATTAACTAAAATGGAACAAAGGATTAGCTCAGGACCGTAATTAACTCCTTGCGTGTACCGTAACAGTGGTTGCCCTCTCGCACCCTCTTATTTTCTCCGGCGCTCGCGCTTTTAAAAAGCTCGCTCTTCCCTTACGCGTTCGCGAAACGAGCACGAAAGGGATGGAGAAAAGGACTCGACAAAAGGCGAAAACGAAATTTCACAAGACGGAATTTTCGGAATGCACACTCTGTCGACAAGTTTCGCGCATCGCGCGGCTTCAACGAAGATTCCACATTCTTGTAACTGACATACACAAGCACGGGGAATATATAATCAAGGTACTATACCGAAATATTCTATGTATGTGAGCTCACTCGTGTAGCGCGAGATACTTCATTGTCTTAGTACTCGCTTCCTAAGATTCTATCGTATGTACGCTCGTGTAACGAGCGTTTTGACAGCTTTTACATTGAATAATATTGAATAATAATAATATACTTGCGTTTAGAAACTTTGTAAATTAAATGGATAATTTTCATCGCTTTTCCTCTTTCTTTAACAATATATATAATAATAATAATTAATCGTCCGATTAATATGTCCGAGTAAATAAAATTCGAATGGAATTAGCGAGGTCGGAGACAGGTTTAAGAAAATAATGGGTCTTTAACATCATTATATCGCCGCATTAGATTTTGTTTCCGCCTGGGGAACATTGATGAAAAATTGGACGCAATTCCGGACGCGAAGCTAGCCGTAGAGCGAGGTTGGAGTTAACTAATCGCGAGCTCAAATTAACTCATTATTCGCGAGTTTAATTTCCGCGGCGTGTCTCATTTCGACGCGAAGTGTGAGCAGGCGACGAAAATAAAGCCCCGGATATCGGGCAGCGAAACTAGAATTCGCGCAATATCGCGACGAGGATGACGAGCTTTTAGTCTCGCACGAGCGAGATGCTTTCGGGGATGAACTACTCGTGGAATATAACTCTCAATTTGCTAGAGAAGAGCGGTCGATAGCCCTCTATTTCTCCCTGAAGAGGGTTGTACATTTTTTTCTTATATATAAGGCTAAATAGATGACTCGGCTAACAAAACTCTCTGTCTTTACGTTTCTCTTTTGTTGGGTTAACATATCTGAATGTCAGACTTTTTCACTTTCTTTCTCATATCTTTGGTTATATTTTGATCCATGTCTTTTGCAGAAAGTATTTTTTTTATTAAATTTTAAAAATGATAATAATCGCTTCGAATAGTTGAAAAAAAGATACGTATAAAAGAAAGAATTTTTATAATGTACTAAAATATTTAGAAATTTCATATTATATTCTGTCACATAATTTTTAAAATTCCTTACATTAACATTATAATATCTACATTTTATAAACACATAATACTTGGAAAAAATCTATGAAATTTTTCTCAAATATCTGTTAAATAATTCAATCTTTGTTAATGTATTTGTGTAATTCAAGTTAAAGCCAGCCCTACACGTATCTACTTTTTAATCAAATAATTATAATTTACGTTTCCTTTATGCTTAGATTTCATATGCAAGCGCAGAGTAAAATTATACGCAAAACGTATTACCATTGCAAAAAAATACGCATTGTGTGTGTGTATATACAAAACAAATATTACGTTATGGCAGGTTACCTCGGTAACTGCAACGAATAAATGGATATAATAATTCATAAGAAATTTCCGCGTAATGCAAAACTTGTCAGCGGGCGTAAATACATTTATAACAGTAAAATAATAATCGGAGGAATAACGGGATGCTTATATGTACATATATGAGAATGTAATTGAAAATTCGGCGGTAATTGAAAAGCTAGCGAAATTCGTTGTTATAAATTAAACGTTTCCTAACACAATAAATGCTTAGTAAACATTAATTTATACTTCGACGACATATAAATAATCATTTATTTTCGTATATTAATAATGTATATTGTGAGATAACATTATCGCGAATGATTTATTAAAACTCTGGGATTTAATATAAGATATATATCTGTCCATTTTCATAATTACATTCATAATAAATAGAATCGTATGTTTTACGTGAATTTATGTGTAGCTGCATAAATTCTCATGCGCATATTTGAGAACCGAGATAACCTTATTCAAACACAAACAAGGTATTTCTCTTACAATTATTACTCGAATAATAGCAGAATGTATATATATATGCAAACAAAAATAACGATAAAAAGACAAAAGAAAAAATAAAATAAAATTATCACTCAAATAAAGAAATAAAATGCAATTCTATTGCGAAATATTAATATTAGCTATAGAAAATAAATAATAACTTATAAACCCCATCTTTGAATCTTACATATATTATTTTTCTTACGCGATTTTGCGAGAAAGGAGACACTTTGAAGTTAAAAAGATGCTCTTTTTGCAGTCGAGTTATGCGAATAAAATGGAGTTATCAATTCCTAACAACCAATCTTTATGCAAACGGCGGAGAGTATGCAGGCGGCTGATACGCAGATAAATGCGGCTACTAAAGGAGAAATATTTCCCTCTGCTTTAACGCATATAGACAAACAAAGTACATTCCGGTCCGTTTAAACTTTTCCACCGCGACAATATCGCATTTTTCTGAAGACAACATAATGCAAATAAAATGCTAACGGTTGCTAAATCGGTAGTTTTTATGTCGCAGGATGAAAATGTTTTTGCTCTTTCTCTATCTCTTTCTTTCTTCTTTTTCTTTGTGCGACATTTTGAAGATTTCAAAAGCTTTTTGGAGGATTCTCTTGAAAATATTATTTCCCAAAGCTTCGCGTAAGATGAAAGCCAGGTAGAAAAATACGCAAAAATATTTTTTGAAAAATGTTCACGAGATATTGAAAAAAAGATTAGCGGATTAAAATCAACGATGTTTCCATTCAGCGTGATGGAAATGATATGTGAGAGAGGTGATCGGAAAAATCATCTGCGGAATTTAATCTCCTATCGTGTCGAGAGATTTAAAAATCTTCTGAAATAATTATTTTCACGATTTTTCTAGTGAGTATAAAATTGCAAAAGTATTAAGAAATATATCTCCATCGGTTTATAGTATAATATATTTCTCTCGCTAGACGATACAAAATTCGATAATAGAAGGGAGCTTTCGCGAAAGAGAGAAATTGAAATATAAAAACAACATTTAATTTATCTCTCTTACAATTAATCCATTATTCACCAACGGTAGCTGATATTATTATATTAAAATGAAGCGTATCTTATTCCTTCTGGTGCCTGCTTTGAGCGTAAATCAGACACGAGTTCATTTTGTACGCGCGGTGCATAATCGTAAACGAGAAACCGCTGAAAAAGACCAAGTTTCGCGGATTCCGCCGACCAGGAAGAGGTCTCATTGATCAGGCAGAGAGAGTCCCAAAGCCATTAAGGGGGCCGATAAGAGACACGCGATGTAAATTATGCTCGAACGCGGTTTCCGGAAATATACCGCACAACTCCGGCAAGTTACACTAATAAACATAAAATATTGAACATGAACGCGCGGAACCGAAAAATTGAGCGATTAAGTTGCAGTTGATTCTAAAGACCTACCATTTTCAACGAAATACTAGGACTTTTTATGTTTTCACATTTGAGCGCTCGGTAAAATCGAATTAAGCGCGCGAAAAAACGTTTCCAAGTCTGTATTAAGTGATACAAGTCTATATTAAAGTATCCCAAACCTATCGAATATTGTTTTATAATGTCAGATTCTTTCCACCACAATTTGGAATCGATTTTTTTCTTATCAAGTATTGAAACTTTATCATTTTTAGTGTAGATTTATTAATTTTTTAAATAATATATTTGATATTCTTTGCAACTAATTATAAGCCTTCAATTAAAATTTACTTTAAGAAAATTTTAATTGAAATAATAATTGAAGAACAGAGTTTTATTATCCTCTTTGAACCGCAAAGTTTGCGAAAAGACTTTCTTTTCACTTGCCATAATTCGAAAATTACGAAAATTTTCGTTAAAAAGTGGTCGATTCCAAATTAGTCTAAGAATTTGGAAGAACATTCGATGCTTTCGAAACATTAAACATAATATATATATATATACATTCATATTTAGTTTGAATTATTTTCTGAATTGATCATCGGTTTCCATTGAGAAAGAAGATCGATTTCAAATAGCGAAATTCGCATTATTGTACGATATAGAGATGATAGGAGAGCGATTTATCTTAGTCCAAAGTTGAGAGCGATTTGAAACGTGTTTGTCGAATATCTTAAGCGATTAGTGTTACGTATAAGCAAGTGGAAAATGTATACACAGCTTGGTTATGCTGTCGAAGGATATTTACGCAGGGTCGACTCACCTCGCGACAGCCGAAGCGTGAAATTCACAGAGAATCCAGCACAGAGGTGAGAGAGAAGGGTCGGGTCGCGCCGATTAATTAGCGTTACAGTTATACGGCGGTTCTCCAAGGATAATTAGCGACGCTTAAATCCCGCGTTGACTTGTCCGAGCTCGTCGCAAAGCGCTCGTACTCCGTGTCGCGTATGATAATCGCGAATCACACATGTCTGCGCACATATACGGGAAACCAGGCTCTCTTATTCACAGTTAATAATTCAACAAAGCGACGATTAATCCCGCACCTAGGAGTTCGTATATATTATCTCACTTTTATCCCGTAGTCTTTTCTCTCGCAGGAGAGCGAACAACGTAGTTGAAGTTTATTTAAGACTTCATTTGCCTTTATCTCGCAGTCTTTGTTACTACTCCGATTTGTCGTCGCTTTTATTTATTGTTGTTGTCGTCGTTCTTGTTGTTGTTGTTGTTGTTATTTGTATACTGCGTACGTGTCGAGTGCAACGCACGTCACGTAGCTCTTTCACTGGTATATTTTTACCTCGTAACAAATCACATTCGAGTCCGACCGATTACTTCACTTTCGAAATTGTCCTCGCGAAACACATTCAGTGACGCAAACTTATATGATCGATGCAATTTCCTTATTTTCGCTACTGTCATACGTGGAGCTTTCGATAGGTCTCTCCTGGTCTTGAACTTAAAATGCGCGTTTTAAGTCGCGAGAATGACAGCTGCGTTAAAATGTCTAAAAACTCAATAATTCGGAAAATATCAAATTTAATAGAATGATATGTAATAGTTATATCAATGTCGGCTGATGAAAAATCTAGTCGAAAGTATCGATTAATTAAAGTGTTTGAATAATTGTGTAAAAAATTAGATTCCTTTTGGTCGCAGATAAGATAATCGATAAACGAATTAACGTAGGAATAAATGTAATCACAGGTGGAAATAAAAGAACGAATTATTGAAAAGTATTTAACGCGAAAACAAATCTGATTTGGAGTATCTTTAAATCTTGCAACGCATCGATTTAAATAACAAACTTATTCATTAAAAATATTTAACGCAGATAATAAAAAGAAACTAATGTAAGAATACCGACACAACGATTAGAAGCAATTTCCTTCGCGTACAGTTTCGTACTTTAATTAACACGAAAACTCTCGTATAATTAACGCGGAGATAGCGAACGAATTTTCAACGTTCCTTCGCGACTTCGCGTAAAGAGAGAGGCTCGTCCCTTTTCTAGGGACGTTCCGGGATTCCGAAAGAGGGAATTAGATGCGCACCAACACGATCGTCACATCATTCTATCGCGCTCGAATGTATCGATCACCTCAATCACCGTCTCAATCGTGTCTATTTTTCTCAAGACAGAAGACACCTAGGGATATCGTTAGCGAACGACCCTTTCTTCGCGCCCTTTTGCCTATCGAGTGTCGTGCTCATCTTTCCAAGGGTGCATGTTCCCGATGCACCATCCATCGAGCGCTTCGCGATCACATATCGTTTCTGCTCCAGAATCGAGGAATTGATCAATCGAGTCGATCTCTCGCGCGCGCGAGTGGTGGTTTTCGGGTCCGAGGAAAGTCGGACGATTTCGCGATCGCGATAAAAATCTATTCAGACGGATATGATCGAAGTGGCGAGTACCATGGCGAGACGTGGAACGTGCGGATGTGGTCGTTCTTGCGCAAACCGTAGGACGCTACTGCGGCCGCCGCGCGACGAGAACCTGTCTCTCGGAGTGTTCCGTACCGCGGCGCGCGGCTCTCTGCCTCTGCTGCCCGCGAACTGGCGCAAGCTCTCCTGGCGAAGCCGGGCATCGCCGTGAGCGGCGGAACTTGCGGCGCTGAGGAACTTCGATCACATATACACGGAAAGGGCACAAGGGGATCGCGCGATAGTTCGCGCGATGCTCCCAAATTTCCACCCTAATTTCCGCGATATTAGCGCAATGTTCCCGAGAGAAAATTGCGTTATTTGATTATTAATATACATGAGAACTTTCAACTTGTGATCTCTACATGGGAGGTCTAACTCATCGAATGTCCTATAATAATAAATTCGTTGGTCAATTTGAAGATAATTTTTTTTCAACTTGCCAGCAATGTTCCCGAGAGAAAATTGCGTTATTTGATTATTAATATACATGAGAACTTTCAACTTGTGATTTCTACATGGGAGGTCTAACTCATCAAATGTCCTATAATAATAAATTCGTTGGTCAATTTGAAGATAATTTTTTTTCAACTTGCCAGAGACTATGTGAACATCCTATTTATTTCGATGTATTTTTCTCGTGTTATATTTCATTATTAATACGCATGACAGCTTTAAACTTGTGATCTCTACATGGGAGATCTACCAAAACTCATCAAATGTCCTATAATAATAAATTCGTTGGTCAATTTAAAGACAATTTTTTCTTCAACTTACCCCAGAGACCATTTGAACATCCTATTTATTTCGATGTATTTATCTCGTGTTATATTTCATTATTAATACATGATAACTTTAAACTTGTGATCTCTACATGGGAGGTCTACCAAAACTCATCGCGAATATCCTTCTATAAAAAATAAATTGATAAAAAGTGAATCAAAAATTTTTGGAACATCCTATATTTATTTCGAATAATTTTTTATTAGATTCAAAAATATAATGCGAGTTATTCAAGTTAAAATTGTTAGCCAGGTAAAAATTGTTACTATAATATTCTGCTTAATTAATTTGCATTAATTTGTAATAAACACTTTTCATACATTTCTTCATTTCTCAAATTATAGAGTAGAAATACATTGTTATTTACATTACTCTCGGAATAAAAAGTCTCGGATATTTGGGAAGGAAAATTGAGTGGTTCTATATATTCATTTATATAATAGAGAGAAAAATTTGTAAATTTTAAGTTAGAGATACGTGTTAATTAATAAAAACGCTGCATATGCGTTGTTAAATAATTTTAGTATCTTAATAGCTTTGTAGGTAAGTTTAAGAATTTTTAAACTAAATATGATTAATGTTTTATGACAGAACATCGAAAATTTATGGTCTTGATAAATATATATTTAAATTTAAAATATTGTAGTTTATAACTATGATAATTTATGACTCGACATTGTGTCAATTGTGACACGTAATTTATGACAGGAAACAAATAAGATAAATGCTTCATATAATAAAGTAGAACGCAATACTTTTATCTCTATCAAGAAGTTGAACTAAAAAATTGAATCCGAGAAACATGCGATATTTTATAATGAATGAAAATATAAAAATATCGTCGACGAAGACGTTCATTCCACATTATTTTCCCTATCAAGATGCAGGCGGAGGATAAGATGATTACGAGAATATCTTGTAAAAAACGTAATAACTAAAGATAGAGGCGTGCAGATGGTTTCATTTAAATAAATTGGAATTTATTTTAATTAATTGAAAATTATATAGAAGAGAAAAAGTAGGAAATTTGAAGGAAAAAAAGTCGACTTCAAACTGAATATATCTCGTGCTTAAGTTTTAAGATAATTAAAAGGCGCAGCGACACGGCAATAATTATTGAGAAAAACTAAACTACAAGCGTCGTAGTCTGCCGTTCGTAGATCACGCTGCAATTTTTATAAGTCGGTCCACAGGTGCAGTTTTATAACTCATGAATATGAGAACGGGCAGGAAGGGAAAGGAGATATCGATGTGTCCTGCGACATCCCGTCCATGTTACACTTTATTTACATGACGCGCAGAAGAGAAAAGAAAATATTTTTGATGCGCGAAATGCGAGTTGAACTAACACTGATGTAACAGTGATACGAGGTCAACGTAAACTCTCGCATTGTCCTGCATCGATCCCGAATCGAACGGGAATGATACCGACACATGCAGAGAATGTAGAGAAAATACTGGGATAGAGACTGTTATTTTCTTCTTTCTCTCTCGAGCAGATCGAACGGATAAGTTTGTTTATTCGGAGGAAAGACGAAAAGTTTCCCTAAGCACGCGCACGTGATGCAATTCCTACTTATGTGCAGAATAACTCGGGAGATGATAGAAACAGTAGCATTCTAAGAATGTGTCTTTCGAGATTTTATTTTAGCAAGATTCTAAGCAAACCGAATTACCGCCTTATTTCTCTAAATTATATATTAATTATATATAATTAATATAATAATTTATAAACTAATTATATATATATATATATTTAATAATAATATATTTTATATTTCTAATAATATATATATATATATATATATATATTTAATAATGATAAATTTTATATATATATATATATATATACATATATGTATATATAAATAATTTTTTTAATAATTATGTATAAAATTTGACAGATGAAGAAAATGTGTACGAAAAAAATGTAATTACTAAATTATCGCGACTTAATTACTGTACAAATGTATTGCAAAGGTAGATGCAGGTAAAAAAGAAAAATAAAGAAATTGAAATTCAACACAACGAGAGCTAAAATTCTTGGCTGTAATAAAATCAGGGGAGTAGGAGTTTTTTCTCTTCATCTTGGTTAATAAAGGCAACATTTCCGGGACGCGTGTCAGAAAAAGGGTTAATCAACTAGTCTCTCTCTCTTTCTCTCTATAAAACGCGCTCGTGCATATATGCATCACCGGTGTGATGCACCCTGTGCGCATCTTTTTTCCCGTGCGCGGGCGACTTGATAAAGAAATCCCAGTTCCGGTTCTCGCGCACCGGGATATACCGGAAGAGCGCGAGCTAACAACCTAATTATAACAAAAACTTGCAGCCGCTCATTACCAGCTAAATACGTTTTCTCGTGCAACGAGTGACGTGCGCGCTACGGAGTGTCCGAAAAGTCACGCGCAAAATTTATACAGGTGTAATATTTTTGCTACACGTAATTCTAGACCGGGTAAGCCATCAGAAACTCTCTCTTTCTCGCGGAATTAAAAATACTTGGGAAATATAAATTTAAATGAATTTAGACACTTTTAACATATTGTAATAATGTTGAAATTAAATTAAGTAATTTTGTGCTTTAAAATACTTTTCTCGACTTTAAGTTTCTGAACTCAAAGTTCATTCAAGTTGATAGTATGACATTGATATATGATTAAAATTTCTTCTTGATATAAAACTGCAACACGCCAGAAATAAAGGAATGGATAATCTATTAAAAGAAACAATGCGATCTTAACATCTTTTGAACGAGATAACTTGGAGAAAAAAGAAGTTACATTCAACGCCTTCGAAACTATTTAAATTATATTCCGTACATTTTCTCCGTCTTGAAAAATTTAAGAGAGAGAAATGTATAAGTATCTTATTTCCGATAATTCACTCCCTCAATATATAACTCAATCAGTGTATATTTTTTCTGAATTATTTATTCGTTAATGAATTAAAAATGAGTTCTACCTCGGCAAAGTTGCTCAGCAGAGAGAATGTTTTCATAAATCAAATCAAACGTTTTACGTGTATTGACAATAATAAATTACAGTGTGCAACAGAAACACGTAACCTAAAGTTAAAATGAAAAGAAATATATATTCGTGAAAAAGAAGCCAGGAATTCTCATCTAAGAAGAAATCAACTCCGTGTTCATCAAGAAATGTGCCGTTAAAAGGAAAGCCAATTACCTTAGCGTACCTATAATTATATTTCACTGTCCGACGATACGTGTTTTCGCAATAACGAAAATGGAATCGAGATAAATAAAGTTCCAAATTCGTCGTGATGTGTTTCACGCAATTTCATATATCTTAATTGTTTAACTGCATAGAAGGAAACTGGAGAGAGAGAAAGAGAGAGAGGGAATATTTCGAAAAAATTTTTCTCGTTCATCCATATAGATTTTCCTACTAAAATATCAAGTTTTGCGAATATTAAATGCGAAATAATTAAATTGCCAAACCCATCGCAACGTTGATTATCGCAAGGAGAATATTTTACATTTTATCGCGTCATGTCAGTGGCAGAGAGAATATATAGCAAAATGTGATGTACATCATGCCTTTTTCACGTAATACATATTATTTCTCATTGATGCAGCGTATATGTGAAAACTACTGCAATTAAATCGGAATGAACGATTTCATAGGATTACTAAGTAATCGCCTTCAATTTATAACGGATTTTTCTGCAAAAATATCCACTGTCGGATGAATATAAAACATCAAGATCTTGTCAAGTTACACATGAACAATTGTTTTTTCATGATAATCGGACGATAAATCATGTGCGCGCATAATTAATGAAATTCTCCCACCGTGTAAACATTATCGCGAACGAACGATCAATAACGGATTATCTCAGAAATTTTTATTACCATTCATGCGAAAAAAACATTTATTTATTCGCGAGCAAAATAAGTAAGAGTTTTCCACGTCGTAGCCGAATTATCGATTTTATTTATTTATTTATTTATCTTATAACGCATTGAAAAAAATATCATTTTATTAGAATTGCATTTACAAGATCGCGAGAAATTTTTGAACACCATTAAATTCGTCGCGGGATATGAAATGCCGCGTTAATTAGGATAACTACCGAGGATATTGGGATTGGGAGGGTTAGTCTCGTCGGGGTTTCGTCAGAAATTGCATGAAACGAGGGTGTTTTGCCGATCCCATCTGCCGCATCTCCCACATCGGATCCGACGATTTTATTCGGCAACGCCCGGTAGCACATTCGCTACTGCTAAAACACACCGGAGCTTTTTGCGCACACGGTTCCTTCACCTTTATACGTGTCTTTTCGTCGCGCGTTTCACCCTCGTTAAAACCCC